TCAAAAAATATTTTTATGTAATTGACTTGATTAATGCACAAAACGATCAGGATTGTTTAATGTGATAAATGCCATTGTTTTCAAGTGGATGTTCAAATAAAGTAAAGTAATGATTTTAATAGAGAGAGGAGGAAAGGTCAATGCTAGAAGATAGGGTTAATACAAGGAGAGAAAAAAGGGTTAACGCTAGCGATAATATATTAGCTAGTTGTTGCTGCAGCTTCATCTTCATCAATATCCTTCTGCTCCCCATCAGTCTCTTGTTTCTCCTCAGCAGTATGCTTTTGCTCTTCGGCGAGCTCTTCCCACTTCTTGGCGTTGTACCTAAAATTGATTGATTGTTCAATTGAATTTATATTCTACAAAGTTTCAGAATTTGATATAAATATAATGATTGTGGAGTTGTTTATTTCTAAACTATTCTGAGAGCAGCAACTGCGATTGAGATATTCTCATATCGTTTACTTGCATCTCTCCTTGAGTTGCTCCGTTTCTGGTATAATGCACGACAGCAAATCGTAACACGGCATACAAATTCCATTCATGAACCCCACTTGCATCTGCGGCAGTTCATGAGCTTTTTGTCGATCCATCATCGCGATCGGCTCTCTGCCATTCATTCGTTCTGCATCGCCCTGAATCAAACTGCCAAACAATTTAGGAATTAACCATTCCGAATCAAGTTTATGATTTGATTACTGTGACGAGAACAGTCATATTCAGGCAACAAAAATAAAAGCTTCAACGACCTGTTCATAAAATTCCTCAAATATCACTTTAACTGTTTCGGTTTGAACTGCCCATGGCTTTGCAGAAGCGATCAAATCACATCCTGTCATCAGCACTGCCTGCGTTAAAGCCCTGAAATTTCAATTGATCTGCAAAAATATAATTGAATTTTTCGACCCTCTAGTCGATGAATTTCGTAAAATAAAGTCTTGCAATAATTCATCAGCATTTCTTTAATCGCAGACTAAATTAGGATGAAGTGCTAATTGTAGGTTGAAGAGGTAAAATGATTTTACCTGTGTTCGTTATCATTCCAATCGAGTGTGTTTTCATTGACAATTTTCAAAAGTCTTGCCTTGTTTGGGAAGAAGAGCGCTAAATCAGTGGCAAGAATACAGTGTTTTATGAGACTCAGTGTTCGCTTATATTCTTCTGATGAAAGCGATTTGAGAATATTGTGACCGTCCTTTAATTGCACCAATGAATACGTATTCATATTCGAATTGAAATATAAATTTATATTAGCAGTCACTATTTGATGAAATTCAATCGGTTGAAAATGCAAGATATTTGCTCGGATTTATACAGTGATGTCTCTATACCACCTTTTTGAAAACTGTTCTGTTCTATTCTTTTAGACTCAAAAACGACTATTTTATTCTATTCTGTGCGTTCGACGTTTGGGAACTGTTCTATTCTATTCTAAGTGCTTGAATTGTGCTATACTGTTCTAAACTTTTCTATTCTGTTCCCTCGGTCAAAAAGGTGACACGATAAAACTTGTGATAATTAGGGTTTGAAACGTGGTTTTTTGGCGTTTTCAGTACAAAATGGAGATTATTTCGGGTGGGAGAAGATCGTCCACGCAGGCAGTTGACAGCTTTTGATCGTAATGATTGGAGGAAAACAGAGGGTTTCGGGCTCTGGTAACCACCATTCATTGACGATCAGAGGATTCCCGTTTCATACAGAAATAGAATAGTTTGACTGGAATAGAGATATCACTAGATTCATAACATTTAACGCAACATTCAAGAAACTATCATCCCTTTTAAATATGTAATGAAATGCTTGCAATAATAGTAAAAAACTACTGCGACGAAACGATGAAAAAACTAATGCACAGACCTGTTGTAGAATAGTTACAGTTTGATTGAAATGGTGGTGCTCCATAACTGATGTCGAATAAACTGCAGCCAACGGTGTGCTCATTGTTTTCATATAAGCATTATTTTTACCACGGTGATCTAAGTCATGACAAATGCATGCAACGTATAACGCTAATGCCTGAAGCGAATAAGTAAATCATGTGGACTGTGAACTGCAATAAGGATTGCTTCGTCTCGACTTACAATCAAATACCCGCTTCTCAGTGTCATTTGTTCATAATACTTGTAGCCGATGCAACTAATGTGACGAGCATATCAAACGAACAATACTGTGTCTATATCACATCGAAAATTACTCACAACGAATTGGACGTCAAAATTACTCACAACATCAATTACAACGAATTGGAGTAAGATTGATAGTGCGAATAAATTTACGGTTACCGAAAGCTCATAACAAAAAATAACCTCTTTAGGAGTAAAGATCGATGTTGTTTTAAGAAGAACAAACATCGCATGTGCTACCGACCAACCATGTGCCCAATTATGATACGCAACACGACGATAATTTTTGCGAACTGTTAAAATAAAGCGCACAAGATCATCGTAATCATAACGACTGAAACAGCGTTTTCCATTCATCTTATTAACAAATGAGATTTTCATTAAATAAATCATGATTCATTCCATTTTTTCATATGTATCCACCGATAACGAATCGCAATCAAATTGATTATCTAAAAACTTCACTCGTCTTAATCTGTCTTATCCGTGAATTACTAAATGGAATGAAGTAAATTCATAACTTACATAACGCCTTGAAACAGTGATTTGAACATATAAACTGCGTACAACGGTTTCTCCAGTTCCGAAAGTTTCATGCCATTGAAGTCAAACCTAAAATAGTATTGAGTCTATGAATATCTCACATAAGAGCATTAAATGTTTCGTATTGATGGTCTCGGACAGTCCAAGATTGTCAAAGGTCTCATTCAAGCGACTCATTCAGATCTTACTAGTCAACTGAAGCCATCTCAGCATCACATGATTTCAAAAGAACTCTTCTTTGTCGAAATAGCAGTTGTGTTTTTCCTTTTGACACTTGTTCGCTGAAATGCAGGCTCAGAACCAGGAATGGTTTTTGATGAGTGAGTAACACATTTTGGAACCTCCTTCATCAATTGCGGAAGAACATCGGAGAAAAACGCAAATTTCGTTGTCGAACATTGACGTAACCAAAAAGAGATTACATATTGTTCGGACAGTTTCATATCCAGTTCAACTTAATTTTGCGGAGGAAATGCTTTCTTTTTTTACAATAATTTGAAATGATGCAAGAAAAGTCAACATTATTGTCATTGCAAAGGAAATAAATCATTGCGTCTGTGAGAATGCAAGAATGCCATTTTTTGAAGCCGAAAGAAACGGAGATGAAACGTCTCATTTCCAACTTCACCATAAACGAATTATAGCAACGCACTTTAAGTGAGTTCATTCATTCTATGACAGATGAAGCAGTTAATATTCAATTCAAAATAACTATCTGTTTGCAAAAAGCTTTTAATGAGGAGTCTTGAGGAACTCATGTTGATGATGCACCGCACCGTTTTATGAGAGCCATACTACTTGCAAGATGAGAAAAGATAACATCGAAGTCAAAATTAAATGCTGATTTCGAATGAAAAGTATGTATACGTTTCCAGTTCTACGATTCTGTCTCGAAGTTTCACAGCCTTCAGTTTGTTTACTTCGTCTTTGTTGCAGACACTGTGATAAGCCAGCACTTCCAAGGCAACTCGATATTTCTAGAACATTAGCAACTTTCGAGCTATTAATTATTAATATTTATTATTATTATTATTTATTATTGTTATTATTATTTGTGCTATTACTATTTGTCATCATTGTTACTAATCTAAAGCTTTTTTCAATCTCATTGAATTGGGTGAATAAAGATGTTCACAGTGATTTCTTTCTTCGTACTGTCAACTTCTTTTGCTATTTCTCTCCATTACAAGAAATATAATTGCCAACTGAGAGCATTAGCGATTAAATAACGAAAGTGCCCACTTGCTCGGAGCGTTTAATCCTATCGTAAAGTTTCGCGTGATGAAGCGCTAGTCCACAGTAAACGGCGAACGTTTCAAAAGAGTTTTCGTCTTGCTTCGTGAATGAACCATCATTCTTATTCACCATCTGCACAACGCCAATTACCCTATCATGATTTCATTCACAGAAATGACAGACATTGATGCACACACAGATATTTTCGTTCGCAATCATTTTTACTAAATATCACTGATGTGATCAAACAATAATACAAACTTTGAGCTGTTCTCCATAAGATTCTTGCCAAAATGTCTCGTATTTTGATTTTTGATTAAAATTTCGTCTGAACGGCATGTTAATTTGAAAATAATTGATCGCACATATGCTGATTAACGATACGCTTACGATCCACGTATAAAAATCGGCATGCATAGAATATTTCTTGTTTTGTAGCCTGTTTTTTGATCAATTTCCTTATTGAAACGAGGGTCTTCATATGCATTCTCGATATTTAGTCCCTTTCCAGTGGAAACCACATATCCACCAATTCCCTTACCAGCTGGAAACCTGTAGAATGTTTTGGGTTATAACTTTGTTTCTTTCTCATCTGTTACGTCTAGAATATTCCGAAATCTAGGAAATTAATTTAGTGATTACTATAGCTTAAGAAATAAGCATTGCAAAAGTGAATCGAAACGCTTAACGTTTGCAATTACAATGGCGCATTAAACAATAATGTTGTGAAACGTCGGTTTACGATCACAAGAGTTTGGTCGTTACTCGTACTGGTCGTAAACCGAGACGTTCGGTTCCACTGTGTTTTGAAATTAGTGATGGACGACGACCTGCCGCCAATTTTTTCTAATTAGAAAGCGATTGTTTCTTGCCTTCAGTTTTGTTTCACCAAATTACGCTTTCATTCAGTATTTTAAGATAATAATAACTTTCTCAGCATGACTCCAGACTGCTTTTGGCTACATAAGAGCGGTGCATCTCAACGCTATATCATTTGTTGGCTACGTAAGCAGACGCTGCTGCGTATGTTGGCTCATGAATTTGTTCGTGTCTCGTCTCACTGCTCAACTCAAGCCTTACTTCATTAATGTGTTCGCTTCACTGCTCGATTCACGTTTACTTTGATGCTCGTACCGTGCTACTGATGAACGTGCATTTTGCTCGTAAACTTTGGTTCTTATACATACCTCTGCCTTACGATATCACTTTTTTCTGGAATTTTGTTTTTGAACGCTCGCACTCAAGATCAATGGAGTTTGTTCCACTCACTGACGGTTCGTATCCGCGAACATCAATTGAGCAGATTGTTTGCTCGCGACTTACCCATCGATGTTTAAAATCTCATATCTATGGAGACGTATGTTTTATGACATTAAATTGTAAGTGATTTCGGCTGCTTCAAGCTTAGATAGCTGTGAAAACTAGTCTTTGCTAGTTCGTGATGAAATAAGGAAGGAACTGAATTTGTTTAATTTTTGTAATGTGTTAAAGGAAATAGCACAATGCTGAGATAGAAATCATGCCTTATCTCCTTATGACCATCCTCGTTGATGTTAACGTGCTCGTCTTCACCCATACCAACGTCAAAAATACGTGCATAAAGTTCGTTCGTCTTTTGATCAACAAGAAACAATGAAGCACGGTCCGCATTCGTGAGCTTTTGAGCGAAGTTCTTGTGAAAACAATTAATTGAATGCATGAAAGTATTGACAAACTAGCAATTTCAACATATTCTACGACATCTGAACAAGCATTTTTCATTTTACACTTATCAAATGAAAGTGGTAAAGGTGCGATGATGATTCTACTTTAAGAATACAACTTCATTCCGTGATCTTTCCACAAGTCAAAATTGATAGCAAAAGAATGATGCATTTTTGTTTCTGATGTAAGAACTGTTTCCTTTGGGATATGAGATAACACTTTAATAATTTCATAATTTACGAGAAAATAAAGGGAAAGAAGATTATATATCAATCACTCTTAATTAAAAATATCTGCAGCTGAAGAATCAGGCTTAGTATCTTTCGGTCTATCTAAGCTTTGATAGACTGCATCCGATTAGCAGATTAATTGGCATGCCCATCATTCGTGTTGAAATTAATCTGTTTTTACGAAGATTCACTAATGCCAAGCATTTTGATCGTATCGCATGCAGAATTCATGCAGACATAAACGGAGAGCTTATAGCTAGTAGAATGGGAATACCGTGATGAGGTTATAATTACGTTATGTTTCCATTATCGAGGATTTTTTGCTTGTCAGCAAATTGAAGAGAGCAAAAATGAAAACTTGGTGAATATTTAGCATATTGGATAATTTAATGGACAAATGGATAAACAAACGCTAATTATGATGAGAACCGTCAAGTTGATTAACCCGTTCAGAAGTCACTTTTGTAGGGGCATTGCATTCACTGACAGTGCACATATGATTTTTCAGCTCATAAACTCAACATTCTCAATGATTCATGTCTACAGAAAGTAATCGTACGTGAACAGTAGTATATCGGATCCAATTCATTGCAAACAGTTGATCATATGCACACAACACAAAGCATTGCCACTTACCATCACCTTCATAATAACCGTATCCATGCTAACAATATCCTGAAATATCGACCTAATCAGGGATATACCAAATGGATTCATCAGTTCATACTTTGCAACATCCAATAAAAACGCGCTCAGCTTCCGCTCATGCACTTGGCGGTCATTCAACTCGTCGCCACTGTTATTGCCACCGTTCATTGTCGAATTCTGCTGCAAATGTATCCAAAACGTTATTTATTGATCATTCTTTTTGCTTTATTATATGATTTCACCAGCACAATTACTTGCTATCAAAGTCACAGATGAGCTTTCCACATCAAAGTATGCGCATTCGTGTAGTTGTCAGTAAATTGCTTCTGCTTGGCACCAATATCTCGACATTACAAATAAGTTGTTTCACTGCAAATCTTAGTGGTACTGACCTGCGAGAAATAAAATGCTGCGCAACCCCATGTGCATATGATGCGTACGGCAAGACGATCACGATCACTAAGGATACGATAAAAATTGATTTCACCTGAATTATCACCCAGCATTCAATGAAAAATCTCAGAGTGTTTTTCCGGGCAAGAAACGATGAGCTCATCAATTACTAAGGAACACCAACTTCTAAAATTGTAAGTACTGTATTTCGCAGTGAATGAAAAAGTTGATAGTTGCAAAGTGCTCATTTCTTAAGACAATTTCTAATGCAAACAGTGATCGGAAAACGTCTTACAATCTGCTTATCAAAACTCTGAATTTTAGTTGATAAGCAGTGAACCACAACAGGTAGTGAGTGAAATTTACGAAGGAATAATTTTGGAATTGTACTGATTCATTTGCCACTTTCATATTTCGAGGAAATAAATCAATAATTTGATTGATAAACGAAACCAATGAGACTTCCACAACAATCGACCAGTTCTTGAATGTGTATTGGTGTTTTACGTATTTTAGGCGGCTTTTTGAGTATGACCATATCATCGTTATGAGACAGTATGAAACTCATATCGCCCTTATGTAAGTACACGTCGAATTGCTCGGTGCGAACGAACTGTGCACATGAACATGCGAGTTCGAATAACAATGTCGCCACATCACCGCTCTTCTCGGCAATCACCATAACTCGAGTTGATAGGTCGTCGCACTGAAAACAACTGATTTCACATCACACAGTTTCAATCTTCGATGCTAGTCAACGTTCAGGTTTTCGCACTCCTTCGAATTTTTTTGCTGTGTATGGAAATAGATGTAAAGAAACGATCGAGCATTGGTAAACCAGTTAATGAAAGTATAGATTTTATCAAGTAAACCACAAACAATTACGAACACATTGAATTTATTACCAGCCAAGGTCCAGTAACACTCTTTCGACTATCTTGCCGCAGTTTCGCACTTCGGCGTGTAGCCCACCTTTGAAACGTTTCTCTTGAGATATTCGCCCCGGTAACATAATTTTCAAGAAAATGCGGATGAGTTCTAAGATAGTTGACCACCGTCTCTTCACGCAGATCGGATGCCATCATACTAGCATTAGCTCATTGTGCAAGTGTCATCAAAGGCGGTTATTGTTACAAGTTCACAGATTAACACCATAGCAACCAGCCAACGAGCAGCTAGCTCTTATCTATGTCACCACTGCTTCATCGTATAATTGACAAACTCAAGCAGCATCTCCACAAAACGTTGCTATTACCGCAACACATCACCCAATATTTAGTCATTTCAATTGCGCTTCTCAGATCAACTGATTCACTTCAAATTTGCAACGTTCCGGTCGAGTGCCGAATTCAAAAGTAATCAATCTGATTCAAATAGATCCCTCCTGCCTCAGGCGCATAGTGATGAATATTTGATGTATCATGTTGTTTAGCAACTATCGAGTACTTATTCATTCATTAAACCGTCAACATCGAGATAGAATGATCAAAGCACGAAATACTGATAGATAGATGGTCGATGCAAATATTCACGCAAATGCATCACTTGAATTAGAGTTGAGTCGAGAACTACTGACCGATTTTCGCGATTTCGGAGGCCCTCGAAAATCGGCCGGTTCCACCGACTAAAACAAAAGCGAATGCGGGTGAATGTTGGCGATTCATGATTGTCTTGGGAAAACAAATGTAAAAATGTTGAAAAAGCTATCATTTTGAATGGTGGAATTGTTTATTGCTTATTGAATTGTTTAGGAAATCATCGGAGAATTTGGACTGTGAAAATTCGTAATCGTTTACTGGCATATTCCATCATCAAATTACAATTTCAGTTACAAATTCAAGATGTACTTTATCATATGACATGACACTCAGTTGAAAAATGTTCGGTGGAACAATGCCACATTGTGGAATTTTCGC